CTCTCAGTTTACCAAAAATCTCCATTTTTAGCCTCTGTAGGCTTTATTCCTCACTCCTCCTTGTGAACCAATACTGGGAAAACAATCTTTAACAGAACTTAGTCAATTACAGATTATTTCAGTGTTACTCAACTATGTCACCCTATCAAGGCAGAAGTAGAAAGAGGGAGTGCAGAAGGGACCTTCATCCCTTACATATAAAAAGCAAACTAACAGCAGGAATTTCTCTTCAAAGCAGTTGCATGCTCTGCAGCACTACAAAGTGTCAGTAGATAGATGCCCTGCCTCAGGGATCACCTGCTAGCTGACGTTTCCGTCTAAAACATATTGTCATCTAGAACATATGGCCGCAATTCACCTTGCCATTAGTTTAGCTATTATTATTTTGAATAGTATTGAACAAGAAAAGTCTTTTTAGGACAGGAAATTTTGCCTCTTTTAGCAAAAGAGAAGGAAAATTCACATGACACCCAGGGAATTTCATTTTCACCAAACCAAATTTTGAAAGCTGAACTATTTCCACGGGGCTTTTTGCAAGGCTTTTTTTTTTCTGCAGTCCTGAAAGTCCTCCTGTATCCTGGATACCAATCACCTCTTGTTTTAAGGGTTCTTGATAAAAAATTTATTCTAGCAGGGAGGAGATAGTTTTACAGTACGTGCTCTTTCCCACATGGTAGCCCTGCTGAGATGGAGCATTTCTTCAGGGTGGAACTGAGGTTCTTCTAAGCATCCAGTCCCATATACAGCCATGTGAGGGCCTGGAGATTCGTTTCCATTATCCTTGATGGGAAAGGTCTCTGGGTGACTGTTATTTGAATGAAGACATCCTCATCTGCTGGCGAGTTTCCAACAGCCAAGCTGCCCCACAGCAAAGAGCCCCAGGAGTGTATTGCTGTCCAAAGTGGCCACAGACTTCTTCCTGTGTTTTAGGTAGCAAAGGAAATGCACATATATGTATATATTTAAGTAGACATCTGCCATTACTTACTTTTTAGAATTCTTTAACTTCAGTTGAAGGTCTGAATGCTGGCAGATGAGAAAATGTCTAAGAACAATTACTTAAGTCTTTGCCTGTTGTCATGATCATGCATGCTTATGTTTTTCAGATGAAATTCTGGACTTCAGTAAATAGTGATTTAAAATAATGTTACAATTAACCAAACCAAATCTAGTGATGTATGTTTCGGTGTTTCTGGGTCTTTTTAGGCAACTGGATCTCGACTTGGACTGATGACTATGACTGTCTGTACTCTTTTGACTGCCATCATTATTGCTTTTGTATATGGCTGGCAGTTAACTTTGCTTATCCTGGCCTGCATTCCTTTCGTTATTGCTGCAAATGCAGTAAGTGCTAGCTCTATGTCTGGTCATGCAGCAAAAGATCAAAAAGCTTTGGAAGAGGCTGGAAGAGTAAGTTCTCCAATTTTAAATATAGGGTTATRGTGTGAGATCATTTTTAAGGACAACATTGTAGCTCTATTACAGCTGAGTCAATTATCCAAGATAAATTAAAGGGGGAGAGGAAAGTACAGGGCGGGAGGAGAAGGGAATGTTTACACGTCCCCAAGAAAAACAAAACATAAATAACATAAAACATCTGTAAATCAGGCTATAAAAGTGCATTTGGAAGTTTCCACACCAGGTTTCTGCAGAGAAAAGGGACAGCTTAAACAGCAGCACCTCAAATGCTGTCTAGTGCAAGTAGTGTAGCTCTGCACTGCTCCAAGCTGCAGAGGAACACACAGTGGAGCYAAGCATTGATGTAGCTGTTTTCTGTTTCTGTCCTAGCACACARACCAGCAGCATGCTCAGGAGCTGAGCAAGGGTGTTCCCTTCGTTTATCTTATGGGACACAAGGATGGTCAATGCCATTAAATTCAGCTTAATTCATAGAGATCTCAACTTATAGAACAGGGTGTGATGTTCCCTTTTCCCTAAGCAAGATTCAGAACATTGTTAGCTTCTCTTCACCTTGCTTTGCCACCTTGGGGTGAATAACTTCATTGTCTTATGCCCTTTCCCCTGATATAGACCTCAGTCTTTTTCTTGAAGTAAAGACTTTCTGATGCAAAATAATAAATGTTAGAGAAGAGAAGCTTTTAGGAGATATGTTGTAGATTTCAGTTATAAGGGGTTACCTCTTATCTGTTTTATCTCCTACTGTAGATTTCAACAGAATCAGTTGAAAATATAAGAACTGTAGCTTCACTGACCAGGGAAGATGCGTTTTATGAAAGATACATTACAAGTTTGARCGGTCCATATAGGTGGGATATGTTTTCTTTAATAATTTTTTGGACCTATTGAATTTCCCAGCTTTATTATAAATTTATTTTCTGCAAATTATGCAATGCTCTCATGATTGAGAAGGATCTCAATAGCYTTTTAAGTAAGTTTGAAATTTATTTACTTAATGTGTTATAATGTATATCCTTACGTGTTTGTAGAATAAAAAAWTCCATTTGCATTACTTGTGATTTCATCATACAAGCACTCTGCACACTGTATTCTCCATATGTTTTCACAACATTGTGTTTGCTTGTGTATACATACAATATGAAAGGTTAGTTCAGTCTATTTTAGTATAGTGGAATAATACAATATAATTCAGGAAGTGACAGTAATTCCTGTACCGCACTTTTCATAACATGAACCAGCTTTATTCCAAGCATATGACCTTGAAACAAATTCAACGTTTGCCTTGCTTGTCCTTTTATATCCCAACTGACATATTTATCTCAAATAATCCTCACTCTAATAACCATAAATGTCAGGSTTTTCTAGTCTCATTTTGTTTAAACAAAATAGTCTAAAATCTGCTTTGTTTCTTTCCTCCTTAGGGAGGAGAGATGTAAAATAAAGCATTGTATAATCTATTTTCAGTCAATACAGTGTTAAAATTTATTATTGGGCAAACTASCAATATCCAGGATATGACCTGGATGTTTGACTGGATCTCAAAGCTCCCGATTTACAATTGGAGCCAGTAAGGAGTCTTCTGTTTCATGAGAGCACCCTAACCCATGAGGGCAGAGTCTGTTCTCCTACCTCTGATTCAGTGTGTATTCAATTATCTATACAAAATTAAACTTCTCTGGAAGGATAAATTGAGAAATAGAGGCTAAAGCTAAATCCCAGCAGGAATACCCAGGATAAAGTCCCTGCTGAATTGTAATTCAGCTATGAGAGGTCTCTGCTCAGAAGAGAAGTAGACCTGGCAGAAGCCCTCAGGCAGCTCTTTAGGCTGAGTTGAAGCCTCTTTTATCTTTTCAGCTGGGTCATAGGTGGTAGTTATTAAAATATCTTTTTAACTGCTCCAGTGACCTCCCCTGGCTTAGAACAGATGGAGAGAGATGATGGATGGAGATACAAGATAACAGAGGATGGAGGTTCCCAATGCTGTAATTCTCTTACAGTTACAGGTCGAAATGCAGGATGCTTAAAGGGTCAGACAGGTTGTTTTATTTGTGTGGTGTTTTGAGACTTTTTTGTGTGCTTGTTTGTTTGTTTGTTGTTGTATGTGTGTTTTCTGCAAGTGCATACATGTTTTAGGTTACGTTTCGGGGGCTGAGCTGTATTTCTTTAAATGTTTAACACAGAAATTTGGACATCCCTCAGCCACTGTCTGCTCTTCCTACTTTTAAACTGTTACTTACAGGAAGTCTCTTCTTTTATCAGAGATTCTCTGGCAAAAGCCCCTTTCTATGGATTTACCTATGGAATAGCTCAGTGTGCAAACTACTTTATTAATGCAGCAGTCTTCAGATTTGGGGCATGGCTCATTGCTCACTGTATGACCAACTTTGAAAATGTATTCATGTGAGTATATTTTATGGAGGTAAAAATTAATACATGGGATAATGGCTTCAGCGCATGATAATTGCTKGGTGTGACTACTGATCTAAAGGGTCAGAGAGAGGAGGAATTCACAGTCTGGTTGGGAGTTAAGTTTGGGCAGAAGGACTCTTTCTGGGAAAAAGGGTGTATTAAGGCAATGAAGCTGCAAGTGTATTGCTGTGCCCTGTGCATTTTTTGTGGAGAAACTTTCACTACTTGGTGCTTCTTCCAGGAAGAGGATTTTGCACAGAAAAGTGGCATGACTTTACTGTATCTGTTTTACTATCTGTAAAGTACTTACAGGAATATATAGCAGTTTCTAATTCTGTGTGAAATATTTCTGGGAGAGAGCACTCTCCCAGAAATGGGAGAAATGTCACAGACTGGAGATGCAGGAAACTTTATTTTGAGGGTTTGTTTTATAAATGAGGAGAACGTATTGTTCTGCTTGAAAGGAGTGATGCTCTTTCTTTTACTTTTAGAGTATTTTCTTCAGTCATATTTGCAGCTATGAATGTTGGTCAATCTGCTTCCCTGGCACCAGATTATGGCAAAGCTAAAATTTCAGCTCAAAGAATCTTTCAGCTTTTGGACAGAAAACCTCTAATTGACAGTTATAGTGAAGAAGGAGAAAAACTGGTAAGATTTGGGTTTTTTTCCAGAAAATTCTTAAAGCAAATTAATTAGTAGTGCTTTATTGCCAATAACTGTATTCATATGGTTTCATATTCTTTTAGGTGAAAGACAAGACAATCAGCATGAAATACTGGTACTGCCTTGTGGTTTGGGGTGTTTTTTGTTTTTTTTTTTTAATGGATCATTCTATTATTGCAGCATTTCAGTCAGAAGTGTACAATTCTGCTCTGAATGAACTAAAAATTACATTTGATTCAGTTGGCCAGTATCTTATCCAGTATCTTCAGGAAAACATAGACTAAATCAGTTCTACTCATAATCATTGTGACTGGAAAAGAGTATACAAGAGCTATAAAACAAACAGTAACAACAACAAAAAGTGATAAAAGTTCCTTTATATAAGAGAGATAAAGTAGTTCCTTCTGAGAGCAAATAGTTTTGTCAAATTCTATTGTCTTAGAACAGTGGAAACTCATTTGAGTGAAAATATTTTGACTTGTGGAGTCAAAACTAGCCACATGAATTATATGTGTGTTTAAAAACAACGCAAACAAAAAAAAAACAGTCTTTTCCCCCTAAAAAGAAAATAACAACTTCGCAAAGTAAACTGATCTTGGCACTTAAACTGAAAGCATTTCAGAAAGAAATTTGATGGATTAGAAGGATTTTATTTGAATCTCCAGTTCTGAATGAACCCCTTTTAAGGCTTTAGATAGTAGCCCCTGCTCAGGAAGTTGTAATACAGTTTCTATAACCCTGGCTTCTATGGAAGATATCTAGCCTTTAGAATTGCAAACATGCTCATAATTTTCCATTTTATAAGCACATAAATCTTGAACTAGAGGCCTCAGGCACATACTCTGAAAGATTTGATAGAATGTCTTTTGATAAAATAAGAATTGATCTAAAATATTTTTAGTGTAGGTCAGCTTGAATGCCAATTATGCTTGTGATGTCAGAGTAAAGATGCAATTAGATGCTCCATTAAATTAGAGGTTTAGCGGGTATGATAGCACTGCGCTAGCAGTGGCCCTAGTGTGTGTATGGGATGGCTCATATCCCAAACAATAGGACACAATTGTTCTAACGCATTCCTTCTAATCATACTGATGCAGAATAGCTAAGCAGCAACTATAATTAACAACTGTAATTGCTCTTTAAAGCACAGCTTGTCCTAGATACTTCTAAATCACTAATTCACTTAGCTCAGTTATTTTAAAATCTGATCTTGAGAGTTTGTGTTATATTCATTTTGGGCTACTTAGAATGTGAAATGGCTAAAGCAATAGCCATAGATTATATGAAGAATAAAAGTTTCTCCATTTCAAATGTAAATAACATAAATTAAAAAGGTTAAGATATTTAATTCTCTAAAGCGACGATACTCCTTTCCAAGCTGAAGTGAAATGAAGTAGATATGAGAGACAGGGATGCAGAAAGTGATTTCTCGAGAAGGATCTAGCAATTCACATTTGCACATCATCCCATAAATAATGATATTACACTCAATCCAATCTGTAACTGAAAAGAAGAAAAAAATAGGCAGTTTTGAAAATATCACCCCAAATTTCCTTGGCAATCTCTCACTTAAAGAAGGCTTACAGCTTTTTTGTTGTTTTTTGCTTTTAGTTAAAGCAAATAAATGTTAATGTAAGCATATGAACTTTCTATTGCTTTCAGAGTAATTTTGAAGGCAACATTGAATTCAGAAACATCCATTTCGTATACCCATCAAGACCAGAAGCTCAAGTTTTGCAAGGACTCAGCGTGAAGGTTAATAAAGGACAGACTCTGGCCTTAGTAGGAAGCAGTGGCTGTGGTAAAAGCACCTCCATTCAGCTCTTAGAAAGATTTTATGACCCTGTGGAAGGGCAAGTGGTAAGAAAAGATCTGTATGGCTATTAATAACATTTAAAATTTTCAGAACTCTATCGGGTGTTTTAGAGGCTTTCAGTAACCCTATGGAGAGATGTCTTTGTCCTGTAGGTGGATTGCAGCCTCCCTGGGGCTAATATCAAGACCTTTGTCATTGCCTGCCCATACATTTGCCATGCATGCCAGCACTAGACATATATTTGCACAGCAACCTGGCTCAAAGAGCTGATTTCTTCAGGAAGGAGAATGAAAGAGGCAGAGAGCATTGCCTCTCCAGCGCTGTTCACAGCCTGCTTGCACAGCACCATAATGCTTATGTTATTTATTTGTCAATAAATAATCTCATTAATATCATTTTTCATATTAGAGATGAATTTTCATATGAATTCATACAAATCATATGAATTTTCATATGTCTTAGACAGCATGAACATAGTCCTATGGGGATGTTACTGTTTCATTGGTGAAGGGATGCAGTGGTGGTCCAGAGATATTTCTTTGGAGGTTTTAAGACTGACTATTTAACTCACATCAGAGAATATTGGTATGTTTGTAAGGAAATGCTTTCCCATGAGGTTCCTCTTACTTTTTGTTTTCAGTGAGCTGGTAGGACTTCAAGAACACCCCATGATTTGCACTCCACATGTCTGTCTGATGCAAAATACAAGTGAAAACACAGATAAAATTAATAACTAATGAAAGGAAATATTTATCCACTGCATTGGTTCAGTTCCACATTTAATGAGAAATTTTCTTTATTTTAGCCGGGAATCTAATACATACCAGGTTTCCTGTTACAAATGGTGTTTTCTGTTTACACTGTGTATATGTGAATGATTCTGTGCTCAACTTAGCAATTTTTTTTTTCTGTTGCTTTTACTAGTTGGCAGATGGATTTGATACCAAGACTTTGCATTTACAATGGCTAAGGTCCAGACTGGGTCTGGTGTCACAGGAGCCTGTTTTGTTTGACTGCAGCATTGCTGAAAATATTCAATACGGAGACAACAGCAGGGTTGTAAGTCGAGAGGAAATTGAAGAAGCTGCTAAAGCAGCAAATATACATGCCTTCATTGAAAAACTGCCAGAGGTAAGAGATGGTGATCTTCCATTCACAGTGACAGCAGATACTTGGAATGACATGAAGAAATCACTTACAAAGATAAAATGAAAAAGAATATTTTTGTTTCCTTTAAGGGGAGCAATATAGAATTGGTATTTAAACATGTCCATCAGTGTGTTTAAGTTTAAAATCTTCGCTGGGTTATTCAAAAAAAGGCGCAAGTTAACATTGTTAAAGCAGAATATGAGGCACGGGGGAAAGTAGAAGGACATTCTATTACTTCTATATACGTTATTTTTTTTTTTCTCTTTTTCTGGATGCAGCTTCTCAAGGTACTCTCAAAGAAAGACAAATTATAGTAAAACAGTTCAGTAAAACTAATWTTAGTTGAAAAGGAACCACAGAGAGTGTTTCTTAAGATGTAAAATGTACAGATAAATAAAAGATGTGGCAAGCATGAAGGTTAATGCCAAGAATTGTTATAACAAGGAAAAATGCTTTAATATTTGCTTTCCACTATAGTTCCCATTAACTGAAAATGATGCAATGATGCTGAAATAATTTCACTTTCATTACTAGCRATATTTTAAAATACATTGAAAAAATGTTTTGTAATTTAATGCAAGAAACCCAAGATTGAGTCCTTTGTGTAGATTTCTGAAAACATTAAATCTATAGTTATATTAGTCCATGACTATATGATCACTAGAATCTCTAGAAAAGCCTGTCACTAGTGATACCATTCAAAAACCACTCTTTCTTCAGGGAAGTAAATATTCAGGCCAGGTATCAATATGCATGGCTGGCTATAATCATCTTTTTAAMCAAATATTAAGCTTTACTTCTCTAGCCTTCCTTTGGAGAGAGTATTCACAGGCACTTTTTTTTTTCATATTAATACCCAGAAATATGATACCAGAGTAGGTGACAAAGGAACTCAGCTTTCTGGAGGTCAAAAGCAAAGAATAGCAATTGCTCGTGCTCTGGTTCGTAAGCCTGCTGTCCTGCTTCTGGATGAAGCTACTTCTGCACTTGATACAGAAAGTGAAAAGGTGAGTAATGAGCACTGTGCAGATTGTAATGCATGGTTACTTGCTTTCTCTAAAATAAATCTTAGAATTATTTAAAACATAGTGCAGATGCTCAGCTGGGAAACATGCCAGCAAGCGTATCACTGCAGCTTTTCCAGTATGAAGCTTTTACAAGCTGTGAAGTTAAAGACACAAGGAAGCAGTGTGTATGCATTAAGTACTTGAAAACAAACCATCAAAACCTATCACTTTAAGTAATATACATCAGGTAGAATTAATGGTAAATATTGAACTGGTCTTCTGAGCCAAACTCRTTGCCCTAGAACCCAGTCCTCAAGTGACTCATGCTCATAAGATCAGTCTTACTGACTTTAGTGAGCTGCCTTGTTCAGTAATGGTGTCTCATATATGTATTGACTCCTATACCTATAGCAGACATGTAAGTGATGTCACAGGACCAACATGTGATTTCTTATTCTTTGTTAAATTATACTTTTTGGATGATAATAACATTTTCTCTAATAATAATGACAATAACATTATCTCTGTGTGCAGATTGTCCAGAAAGCTCTGGATAATGCCCGGCAAGGTCGAACCTGCATCGTTATTGCTCACCGCCTGACGACTGTACAGACRGCGGACGTCATTGCGGTGATTCAGAATGGCAGAGTGGTGGAGCAGGGCACTCACAGCCAGTTGATGGCAAAGGAAGGATATTACTATGCACTTGTAAATGCACAAGTCTCTAATTAGCTCTGTTTGAAAATGTTTATGGAAAGAGAAGGAAGACCTTACAATGAAGTAATATTGGCTGTGTCTATGCTGATGAACAGAGCCAAGGAGTGCTTTCCAGCCTGGAGACCATGCATCACAGCCAGGCCATATGGCATAGTACTTGTCCCACATATCCATGAGGATGAGCAACACACACCTCAGGGTGGGTTGTGAAAACACACAGGACAATTTGAGGGGCAAAATCTGTTGGGAGAGTTATGGGGGACCATATAAGCTGTAGTAGTCAGACCTGTAGAAGTTGCATCCGTACAATGCCTTGGATCTTTGCGCTTGCTGTGACCAAATCCTGGTCTATGCCTGCTGGCACAGGCTAAGTCAGTACCAGGGTATACAACAGTGGTTAATCACCTGGATAAGTGATACACTTGCTTGCCCATATAGTGTTTCCCATCAGCTAGATGCAGCCGTAAAGTCTCCTTAATTTGCTAATGATGACTAKTTGAACTTCAATGATGYTGAGGTTCAAAATAAAGACATCTCYATTAAATTTGGGGAGGAAGTTGGAGTTTTCCCACTTTATGACACATTTTTAATATTACGCACACTTCTTGGAGATTCAGTGTTCTATTTCAGAAAATAATTGTAATAATTATGTGCCTTCCATGCAGATAAACTGATATAATACCATTATCTTGTTTAGTGCCTGCCTAATCATTGACCTTGCAAAGATCAATCACTCAACACTCATCAGGGTCATTTCAAATAAAGTCTTCTGGGGGTTAGGATGGTTCTTTTGGACCTGATTCATGTTAGTCATGCCAGTAGTTACTCTATGTGTGTGTGTGTGTATTTTTCAACATGTGATTCTTTTCTTTTCAGTGTTTTTGAAGACTTTGAACTATCACAAATTCGGTAGCTTACCTACACAAACTTTATTTCATATTAGTTATTCCTCTGCTATAGTCTTCAGGATGCATCCTTTAGTAGTTGAAAAATATGGTAACCAGAGAGGATGGCCACAAAATCATTATTTCTGGCTGGCCATAGCAAGCTCTAGCACTTTAATTTTCAAAGGCTTTGCATGCAGTTTTAGTTTGGAACTCATGGCCTGGAGCAATATAGAGTATTTATAATTTCCAGGTAACCCTACTCAATTTGTGGCAAATAATTGGTTATCTCCTTTGCTCATTTTTAATTGGTTTTTGTCATCAAAATCTATGAGAGGAATAAAATTAAAAAAAAAAAAAAAA